CGCACCACAGGTATATGAGAGAAGTCACTACGCTCGGTTACAAGCTACAAGATTGACGAGAGAGATGTACGTTTTATAATATAATATATAAGAAACAAAAATATTAGATAAATTATCTTTTATTTGTTATAACAGTAAAATTTGTGTCCAATGGAGCAATGTGTTTTAAAGAATAGCATATTGTTTAAGCAGGCACATAGAGTAATTATCCAAACAATGTTTGATATAAACTTATTACTTTGAAGTAATGGTAATATCAACAAAGTATGGAACAGAAGAACTTTTATAAAGAATTTCATATAGAATTTTTATTTTATGTAAAAAATAAAATATTCTGAGAACGTTTCATTATCATTTAAATATTCTGTAAACTTTCTTCTACTATTTTAGAATATGCGGAACATTTGGAATATAAATTGAACATTTTATAAATATTTAGCGTTATCTAGAAAATTACTATGAAAAATAAAAATGTTACAGATAATGGCTTCTTGCAAAGAGTTATTTTTTTACACCGATCACTTGTATCTCTTATGTTCTGGAAAACTATGGGACCTACAGTTTAATGTCGATTCAAACGACGAAAATTTTTGTTAGAGAAGTTCTCTTGGCAAAGATACTCTCGGTGGTGGGTTGCCATTCTGAGAGGAGACAGGAGCGCATGAAAATATTTTGGTTTGAATCGAATCTGGGATCTCTAGCATAGCAAACTAGTAGTGCGCTATCTGCTCTGCCATGCTCGCTCTCAATGTACAGTGGTATAGTTTCACAAATAGCTTTTGACTGTAACCAAAGATAGTTTAATATACTCACAAAAAGGATATTATTTAAAGAGAATATTAACGATTGATAGCGTATATTTGATAAAATAATACATTCGTATAACTTATTTTTTAAACATTTCCTGACAAAGAAAAAAGAAATAAAGGAATGACATTACAATAAATAAAATAAATAAATATATACTGATGATATTCGCGATATGCTAAAACATATTATAAACTATGACTTTTCGATTGCCACACACATGCTCTATTAATTCGTACAAGGAAAATGTTTATGAAAAAAGCCTTATTTGTAGAAAATGAACATTAATTACTAATTTTATACAATGACTACGTTTTGTTCTAATATAAACAACCGATGTATCTTACGTGGGATAAACGTAGAAAATTAAGGATTAGAATCATCAAATATTGCAAGCATATAGATTGAATCACAAAAAGTCAATCAATAATTACTCAAACAATTATAAAAGTAGACTTACATATGATCATGAATTTGATTGGAAGAATATTCAGATATTTGATGTAGAGTTTCAAATAAACGATTAATTTTTGAAAATGAATTTTTGAAATTTTTAAAGTAATGTATATTACTTAAAATTATTGAATGTCTTTTTTGGTATACATAATTTTGAGAAATATACTAAAGTCTATCTTATTATTTATAAATAAATTGTTAATTACCAGCAGGAAACGACCATCAATTAGACGTCAAATCAGTGTTAATATCGATATTAATTCGTGTATTAATCAGTGTTGTATCGATATTAATTCGATGAGTTGTTTCTCTCGGTAGAGATGTTTACTTTTTAAAAATAAAGTTTCTTTAAAACATATTTTCTTTGTACGAATACTTTTTGCACACACTGTACATTTAATTTCTTACACTAATAACGCATTATATATCCGTGTTTGTACGCGCGCAATATGTAAATCGCAATATGTAATTGTAGTGCATAAGTTCCAGTAACAAAATCGATTAGCGAGTTGATTCCCTACAGTGACATCACATCTTACATGAAAGAATTACCAGAATTATCACAGCTTCTTTTCTGTTGTGAAGCAGATTAAATACAAGCACCTTATTCTATTTCCTGAACATGCATATGCACTACCATGCATATGAACTGCAGTGCAGCTACCGTGAGACATTTATCATTCGAAGATTCTTGAATCGTCACTCGTAAATCAAAGCTTTAATATTATCATATGCTCTTTATTAAGCTATTTTCTTTTTATTTTTGTTTAGCAAATTAGAGCTAGATATTCGAATATTAGACATTCTTTAATATTATTTTTGCAAGAAATATTATGATATCAATATTCTAATTGTTCAAAAAAAGTAACTAACATAACAACGCATTTTTAAAGAAAAACAAAAGCTGCCAAATCTCGAATACGAACTCGATTCGCCGGAGCAATCGATTAATTTTTCGGATTTTCAAAAATTCATAACTTGAAAACAAATCCGCATGTTGATAAATGCCACGACATACATATTTTTTTTACCTCAAGAATAAAAAAAATTTACATCGGAAAATTCGAACATTTCTGAGGTTCCCCTTGTAAGTAATATATATATTTTGGTAATATCTATAAATATTAATACAATATTTTTCATATTTTTTAATATGAAAATATATCAAAAATTCTATGAAGATTAATAGAACATTGATTTATAAAAAAGAAATTTTAGTAAGGTATTAACGTTTCAATGTTCCATGTACCATACATATTTAATATTTTCAGTTCTCTCTATATTATATTTTGAAAGTTTTACATATTTAAAAACCACATTGCATATACAAAACTTTAAGATAATAATCATATAAATAATTTGAAAAATTATTAAATAATAATTTACGTTATTTATCAAATACACATTTAAATTGATATTGACATAGAAATAATTTCTCCTTACAAAATACGAACTAATCACATAAAATAACTTACATGTTATATATTACTATATTAGTACCTATGACATATATATAATTTACTAAGTAGCAAATATAAATACACAGAAACAGAGATAATGCGACTAGTATCAAAAATGCGTAATAACGTAAATACATACGATGCGCAATTGGAAGCTCTTAAATTTCGACTGATATGAAAAAAGGAATTTCATAATAAATACATATATGTATAACTAATATTAGATCTAAAATAGAAATCTGTCCCATCAATTTAAACTTTCATTTCATAAATCTACGCACGCCCATTTCAATTTAAATATATATTATATATATTAGTTTATATAGTGTGTCCCAGATCTATGGGATTACCTCTCGTGAGTAAGTACAGCAGACCAAATTGAGTCGAGAAGTCTGCTATTGTTACTGTATAATTATTCTTTATTATTCTTTATATTTGATAGAATTTTAAATATGTGCTACTACGCAACAAGTGACTTTTGTCATTTCTGTTGATTTTAGATCTTTTTATCATTCAGTGTTGATTAATGTTCCTGCTAAATACGTATAAATAATTTTTCAAAACAGATTTTACATGTATAATTAATAGAATTTTTTCAAATTCGCGTGCACAGCACGTGAACTATAGACGAAATATTAAACTATTGCACAAAAAGAAAGAAATAGAGATTGTACAAAAACGTAAAATAAGTATTAATATTTTTCTTATATACTTTTTAAGGTATAGCAAGAATCAATCGTTCTTTTCATAGTTTTTAAGTTATTTTAGATTTGCTAAAGTTTCAAATCTCTCATTGTTAATATGAATGTACAGAGTGTCTCAAATTTAAATAGCCAAACATTAGGAGCGCATAAGGGATCGATGAACCAAGAAAAAGTTCTTTCAAAACGAAGCAAAAGTGAGCATGTCTTTAAGGACTTTTTTCCCTAGTTTAATGTTTCCTTACATGCTCCCAACGTTTAGTCATTTAAATACACCCTGTATATGTATAATATATCTTTTTCTATCTTTTTAGGCCCATAAATTTTATATTTAAATTTTATATTTAGACATTAAGTTTTTGTGTGTACTACCCTGTAAATGTAGATTTATCGAAAGAATTGATACACCAATGAAATATACCTAAAGGTACAGAAAATTTATCTTGAAAATTTTTTGCAAAGACTGTTTGGATTTTTTAAAAGGGCAGTGAATTTAACAAGTATGAACACGTTGGCACATTGTAATAGAAACCTTTGTTACGCGTTTCGTCCATGTAAGGACTTCAGAAAAATGCATTTTGATCCTCGTAGATGTATACTGTGCGAATATAGAGTGCATACATATTTGTTGAAAACGTCAATATATACTCTGGTAAACATTTAATAATTACTCCAGCAATATATTGTAACGACAATTTCATTTGGATTTGGTAAATACTGTTAAATTTACTTTCAGTTTCATTTGCATCTATTATACCTATCACTACAACAGTTTATAATTTGCCTAACTGGTATTTCGTTTGGACCTAATGCAATGGGTGAGTTTAAGATGGCAAAGTGGTTAGGCATGTTCGCCGAGAGAATGAGCATGATTGGTTTTTATCTGTGTTATCAAATCAATTATGTTTAATTGTTCGGCAAGCAGACCTAGCTGCTTTGCTGATTTAAACTCACCCAATTCTAATCATCCTAATCATAGCAAGTACTAATGCAACAGTAATGCTATTAGATTAAGTTAGACAGACACAATTAAAAATGGCATTACCTATCCAGAGAATGATCCTTTAAAGCGTTATTAGTCTTTGTTACCTCTGATTATTTGGTGTTCAAAGTTGAACATATATATATATATATATATATATATTTGTGTTTTTAACACATTTCTTTAATATACATCTAATACAAATGTAAGTTCATTTTCGCAAAAAAATTATTTGGTTGCAAAATTTGCAACGTATTATGCGATAATTACAGGAAATAATGGCACTATTTTGACGCGTAAAAAATTCAAGTAAGAAATAACAACGACAATCAAATATTTTTCTGAATATTTTCTCGAAAGTATTTGACTTCAATATTAATAATATAATATCGAGTAAAAACACCTTTGAAATAAATATTATCAAATAAGCGTTTGTAAAAATGGCACTAATAAAGTTATAAAAAATGTTTAGTAGACTGCATTAATCTACAAAAGTATTGCGCAACCACCTATTTATATTTAAATATTAATTTAATAAGGAACTTTATTAAATTAGCCAGTTAATTTTTTGTGCACTTTATGCAATATGTGCTATTTTGATTTTAAATTTCATTCTTTGCCCTACGAAAAATTATGCGCGTTGCATTGTTACGCTATGTAGAATAAAGTTAGAAAAACTAGAGGAGAAGTGATATTAGTCATTAACAGGTGGATCCATAGCACAGATTATAGCTTTCATTACGCTAGCTGCCGCTAGTGCCGCGTATGGCTGCCATTCTTTGATTCGAGTGCCGTCTTTGTAATCGGCGATTCCGCGGATTACAATGAAATTCTCGCGACAATTACCCAAGATACTCTCTACGACAGCATCCATCTCTGCATCAAATGCGAGCGCACCGAATCGGCTTGCAAACTTTTGCCTAAGTTGATCGTCTCGTGCGACTTGTCGACCAGAAGCTACTGGTGCCAGATGAATTCGGAAGCATCCATCAGTTCTGTAATTATGAAAAAAAAACAATTAGTATATATTTATACAATAAAAATGTACAGCGTGATGAAATGTTGAATTAATTTTCACCTTTTATTTATGGAATCTTGAGGAGCGATTGGATGAGATACCTCGATGACATCCCTCTCTCCAATAGCCATATATAGTTTATCAGATTCTGGTGGTGGCGCGTTAAAATCATGTTCTGATTGATTAACCAAATTTTGCAAACCTTCCTTCACATACACCTGCCATGGCGGAAACGTCTCATTTTCAGCCTACAGAATAAGATAAATATTTTAGGCAAGCATGTAATATTGGATTCACATAAATACAATACATAAATAAATCAATGCCTAATATCGATAAAAATTACCTGTTTTTTCAGAGTTGCTGCGATTTCTTGAAGACCAAGATTTGGTGGACAATATTCTTTGGTCTCAAAATGATAGTTCTCGCTTTCGTTTATCTTGGCACTCTCGCAATAAACGTACGCATATTTCTTATTGAGCAGCGTTGGATGCGATATCACCACATCGCCTAATCGCACGTGTTTATTGTAATCTGTATAATGAGGAACACCACCACCAACTCCGACAAGAAAGACAAAATCCACTTTTTGAAATGTACCTATGAATATATTCAAAGGCTAAAGATTGTAATAATATGTAATGAAAATAAAAATTATATACATATACAGTCCTTGGCCATTAGACGCACAAATATTACGATAGATTTTTTTAACATACGTTAAAAATCAATAAATTATAAAAAATATGCAATGCATCTAATAATATGACCACGGACTATAACATCAAATAAAAAGTTTAAAGCTAAATGCATACCTAATAATCTAGTAGTAGTATTGCCAGCTGCGGTCATTGCCTCTCTAGTATGTCCTACAGTTGGTAGTTTAGTACATACAATCCTATGCGCACCGATATTGCCCAAAGTATATACATTTGATTCTCCTATAACAAAATAATATATTCATTCATTACTTAATCTTTATGTATTTTGAAATTTACATCTCCTTTTATATATATATTCTTGATTTGTATGATATGTGTGCATTGTGCGGCTATCAACAAAGAAGGACGGAACCTGTGTTATATGTGACGATAAAATAGGTAATAATTCATTCTATGTAGAAGCATCTCCCAAGTCTAGTAATAAGAACTAGACATAACAAAGAGAAGTAAATATTATAGTATCAAAAAATTTCTTTGAAAATTTTATCTATAATAAAGTATTATCGAGAAGTTACTGATTAAATACATTTGGATGGAAGCAATGATCAAGAACTAAAATATTTCATTAAATTTTTTAAAAATAAAATATATATATTATCATTAATCAAAAAAAAAATATAAAATTTTTACAAAAAGAAAATATAATTATTATAATATTACTCATAAAAAGAATAAAAATTAATAAAATAATTTAATGTACACATAAACCACATAAAATGAATACAAAATATGAATAAGCCTAACAAAATTATTACATATAACAAAAACAAAGCCATACAAAACGTTCACAACACAAAACAAAAAAAATATATAAAAATTTTACTAACACATATAATACATGAAATCAATAAATTTGAGTCAATGGAATACAATGAATTTGTGATGTCAACATAAAAGAATTAACGTGTTTAAAAATGTACATTTGTAGCACCATTTTTTGCCTTGCACTGTTCTTCGGTTCACAAGCAACTGGCAAGCTATGAAATGACATTAAAATGATAGAGTTATGTTACAAGTTACTTTACCAAAACGGCATATCACCCGCGGAATTCCGTCTATTGCATCTGATGAACTTGCAGTACCTAAAGTTTCATGCATGGTGAAATATACCTCCATTATCGTTTAAATATTTGCTGCTAATCAGCGAGCAATGGAAATTGATATGTAGTTATATTGTATTTACATGCAAGTGGAAAGAAAGAAATGACTAAATGACTATAACCAGAATGCTAGCGAAAATTTATCTGAATAAATTAATCAAAATGTTTTAAAAATAATCATTTTAGTAGATAATTTTATTTAAAAAATATGTATATATAATTAGTAATCAAAGCAGGAGAGTCAACTGAATTATTCTCTTCTAATATTTCAAATAAATATCTTATATAAAATTATTATTATTATTATAGTATTTGTATTTGAGTATTATAAATAATATCTTGTATATATCTTATTAATCAATTATGACTATTTTCTAATAAAAAAATAGAATAGAGAAATTAATTATTTTTCATAACAACACATTGGCCTATCATAATTTTATATCACAAGTAATTTGAAATTATTATTCTTGGAGATATATAAAACATATTTTAAACCATAAGTAAATATAAGAAAAAAACCTTACCAACAGTGGTGTAGCGAACAAAAGTTTCCTTATTTTCAATCAATGAATCCACAGCAAGTTTTTCGCAATATTGAGCTGTAATGATAGCAATAGTAGGTTGTTTCGCGCTTGCCATCGTTGGCATCGACTTTACTACCTAAAAATACATTTTATAGCATTAAGTTATATATTAATAAAAATGAACTGGAAAAGTCATATTTAAATAACAAATTACTTGGACTTGAGTATCCTCATGAACAACACGTGTGAAGGCTCCATGATCTATTGCTTTAACAAGTCCTTTCTCTTGAAGTTCTTTTAATTTAGCATCCACAGCTGATATCTCCCATCCATGTTCCCTAAAACCCAAATAAAGTTAAAATTTAATTAGGGATGACTCGAGTTCCATTCCAAGAATCTATTCCTGAATCGCTTTTGAATCGGATTAATTAAGGTGATTCTTTAATAAAGTTCTGAAAATTTCAGGTTTCTCACCAAGGTTAACCCAAAATCACAAATATCTGCAATTTGACAATCGCTAACTACAAGACTTGGCTATGTCAGGCTGTATCAGAAACTTTAGTTGCATTCATATTTCATCTTTATTTAACATGAGTAACAGGGATAAAATAATATGATAAACAACCGATTACTTACGAATTGATCTATCATCGATTAAACTCGAATTTCGACAAACCGATTAAAAGCTCGGATAGTTAATTATCGATTTTTGAAGAATTAAATCGAAATTGAACATTCCTTAAATTTAATTTCATTGAACATATTATTTCCCTATATATCTAAATTTTATTTAATATAATTACTTACTTTGCAATGTCAACCACGGTAACAGGATTCGGATAGGCAGACTCAATAAGCTCCAGAACTTTTTCTACCGTCAGCTCAATCACTTGACCCATGACTATTTCATCTGTAGATACTTTCAATAAAAAAAAAGAAATACTTATTTAATCATGCAATTATGTATGGCGTTATAATTTGTCAAACTTTTAAGCCGCCTATTATAATTTTAAAATGACAATTAATAGCATTAAAACAAGAATACAGCACTCCATAACATATGCAAGTTAAATTTTTTTGCCGTGTAGATGAGTGTAGATGAATCTAAACTTGTGTAGTAGGTACAGTTTTTAATCTATCCAAAGTATAGAAAAAGTTTCAAAATATAATTGTAATAAGTGCACAATTTAACTTAGTCTTTGTTTCTATAGCTAGAGTCGAGCTAGAACCGTTAGTGAAAGGTATAGCTTATATGTAGGAGTGGAAACTTGAACACATATACATATATGGCAGCTAATAACCACGAGTAGAAGATTCGTGCTCTACAGATGCATTTCCTTACGGAATGAAGACTAAGTGGCAATGTCATTATCCTATGTAGTATGATAATGAATAACAAATTGGAAAGATGTTACAATTTGAGACAAATAAATGTGATTTTTATGACATGTATATGGTAAGTATTATGATAAGATATGTAGCTATATATACGTGTGCATATGCTTTTGATGCTATGAATTTTTGTATTTAAAATTAATACAAACAGAATAGCATTGACGAAATTATAATAATTGATGTTTATTATGTAATTATATATCAAGTTGTTCGTGTATGTTGGACCTTGGAATGTTTGTGATACGTAAGTTTTATCTATAATTACATGCTGTGAGGGTAGATATGTATATATATTGTACACCGTATATAGAAAATGTAGGCCAATCGAGTGATTAAATGGGTTGTTTTTTACACTCTAATATCTAATAAAGTATTCTCTGGTAATTGCTCGTTCGGTTAAATAGATTGGAAAATCCTTCCTTGCATAATCAAAGTGCATAATAACTTTTGTAAACCAATATAACAATGTTTTACTTTAATTTTAATAAAAGGAATAGAAATATATAACTTTTTTTTAAATTTGCTAAATAGGACATCGTAATATGAATCAATGCATAAATGTTAAATCAATGTTGTTATGGTTACCAGATTATTTTGCTAAGCGACAGAATATACCTACAGAGTGTCCTATTTTTTTAACTTTTACATTGAAATATCCTAAAAAATATAAAAGATACGGTAAAATGTTTCAGACAAAAGTTGTATTTCTGACGAAGTACAAATAAATAATAGTAAAATACATTTTCAAAAAATTGATTTTTTATGACGAAAAGTGCCAAAAGTTTAAAACATTTTTCTGTTTTAAACTTTTTTATTTTTTATATTTTTCGAAATACTTCAATGTAAAAATTGAAATGAAGAACACTATATATTTACTATCAAAATATAAAAAAATTCTTTTTTCCTTTAATCTAATGCTATACACAAAAAATACAAAATGTTTTACCTAAAAATTATTGTGTTACAAGAAAATATATTGTGTGTTAGTTTTGTTTGGATCATTAGATTGTGTATGAGAAAAGAAAGGAATAAACATCAATGAAATGTGATAAAAGTTAATTTCTTTTCATTCTCGAACCTGATCTCCACATAACTTTCTCAGAGGGAGGAAGTGTGTATAGTAAGTGACCAGTAGCTGTGAATAATAGAAATTAAGTATGATAAAGATGTCCAAAACAATGCTCAATACAGAGTAACTGCATACAGAGAACATGAGAAAACCCTAACTTAAATTACATAATGGACTTATGAACCATCAAGAGTTTTAGTCAAGTGTGCATTTCCTTTAGAGTTCAGCTACAATGTGCACTTGAAACGTCTAGTATCTTTCAATAAATGCTATTAAATCTAATCAGCTTAATTTAATAACCATTAACCCATTTTCCTTCATCTGTATCATTAAGTTTTTTACTTTATTAAGCCAAAACAGATTATAATTTAAGAATGAAAATATATGTAGGATTAAATTTATATTTCTGTAGTACTTAATAAAGAAGAAATATCTATTTAAATACTTACATGGCCTGCTTGGAAGGGTAATGGGCTCTTCCAATTGTCTCAATTCCACTTCTAATTTTTTAATACTGGGATATTTATGTTGCATCAATTTCATTATCTTTTTAATAAATCCTACATAATCTGCGGAAAATAACTAACATTGTAAAATGTTACATAGCAAGAAAAAATAAAAACTTATATTAATCATAGAAATTTATATATAAAAGATTAATCAATGCGAGTGATTTCGTAAACGTTAAATTTGATTATTCTCCCTCGAATATCATATAGAATTTCATATTCTGCTTCTTTAATTCTCAACAGTTTAAAACTAGATCCTAACGTGTTTATAAGAAAATAAAAAAAACCACAATTTTGATACTTAAATTATATCAGATAAACTTGATCTTGAAAATACAGTTCTAAGAAACGTGCTCGGATTATGAATCAATAGGTATCACATTACAATTCACCTCTAGGAAACTCCTGCGGCGTGACGAGTTCTCGGAAAAATTCTTGCGCAACGCTTGGCTGTTCTGTCTCGACGAGCGTATCGACAAACCAAAATTGGAGAGTTCTCTGTTCTTGTGTGTGCTTTCCAGTTTGTGCGCTTACCAGGAACACCCTAAATTGGAGGCATAGTTGGGCAGGATGCACCTCACCATTTGTCACTAGAATAATTGCATTTATTAAATATGTAATATGTTCGGATTGAATTTAATTAAATACCACATTTTTTCTTAATTTTTATACGCACTATATGCTCTCTGTGATTCTTTATACGTTTATATATTTATATGTACGGTTACATATAAATATATAATATCATAGATGGAATGTACAGCTCATGAAAAATTTAAAATAATGCTTATAAAAATAAGACATAAAATTAACAGTAACTTATAAAATGTGTTTATAGTTTCATTAAAGAATAAAAATCTAAAATATATATAGACTATCCAAGACCATGGACTATCTAACCAGATGTTACATTTTTTAAACGTAATTCATGTATTTTTATTGCACAGATTCCGATTATACGCAAAAACATCAAATTTTTTTTCTCAAAATACGTTCATTGTCCTTAAGATCTCAAAAGCAATGAAAAACTAAACTTTAACTGCTTGTGGTTTAACTCAGGACCAATCAAATGATATATATCTAATTTCGAATCCTATGTCCATTAATGTTTGTGTGTGTGTGTGTGTGTATGTTTACTTATAAAAATTTGTCCTTAAAAATTACTGTAATGCTTGTTTAATTGATCATATTGGGGTTTGCATATCTGTGCAAAGTACTGTATGAAATTCATTTTGAGAACAAGCACATCTGAGTTTCTTTCGGCATGCATATTAATGCACATACTTTAAAATTCTGAAAATAGATTTTTAAATCTACAAAAAAAAGAAAAAAAAAATTATGATAAAAAATTACTGTGTTTAGTTAATAAAACAACTTTAGGAATCTTTAATAGTGTTTCCCACTGGGAAAACTAGTGCAACACTGGTGCACACCAAGTGCAATTAAATATATAAATCAATTCACATATATTTCAATTTACATATTTTATATATATACATATATATATAATTACATATATTTTGTTATTATAATAATCTCATAACTCTTAAAAGGATTAATTATTTATTAGAACTGAAAAAAATGTAAATCAATTTGCACTCAATTGCATCAATATGTTACATTAGTTTCATTAGTAGAAAATGTTATAAGTCAATATTAGCAAAAATCTTATAGGCTTGTAGCATCATTGTTGATACTTCACGTTTTATGTGATATCTCCTATTGTTTATTTTTCCTATATTATGTAAAACATTTCTTACTTCAAGTATTTAACTTCAGTATTTTAAACTTCAAGATATTATTGTTATTAAGATATTATTGTTATCAAGATATTATTGTTATTAAGTATAATTATCAATTAAAGCAAGTACATCGTACCGGCCACAACCTGTTTGTTGATAACAATCCCCTTGTGATCCCCACCAGCGATATGAACATTGTTCTCGTTCCTGTTTTCTGCTGGTGGCTCCAGGGCCTGTCTCTCAATTATCAATGTTGTGGAGTTCGCTGTCTTGCATTTCGGCGTCATGACGATGTGCTCTGTTCCAAAAAAAAAAAAAGAAAAGACGAATTCAGTCCACAGAAAGTCCCTTATCTTGTTCTTATCGCGCGAGATAAAATCGAGGAATGCGTTGCAATCTTACAATTTCGTTTCAAGTTCTTCCCTCATATTTTTCTTCTGTTTATCTTTATGCAACAATTTCGTTCAAAACGTTCTAGACATCGAACAAACGGTACAGCTATTCGCAAAATAAAAAATGCCGCTACTATCGATTTCGAAATAAGAATCGTTCCCCGCCCAAATTTTTCTCTTTCCATGAACTTTTCTATCCGAATATGCACAACAAGTTGAAACGGTTTTTTTTTATCGCTTACCAGTCTTCTCGCCCATCTTTGCGATATTGTTCCGTTCTTTCGTAAAAGTGACAGAAACTACGGGAAGAAGTATCGAACTTGAAGATTTCGTGACACAGATGCGACGCTAACCTCCACCCAAATTCACTTCAATTGACAAGCGCACTGCACAGCACCCACAGCACTCACTGGTCACTGCCGCTAGCTAGGCTAGTGTGTCGACTGTCGCTGACACTGTCATTTGTCACAGAGAAGATTTGGAGCATCTCTGCTCATTGGAAGGAATTCAGGTATGCTATTGCGCATACATGTTCTTATAGCCAATCACAACGCGACTTCTTATCCCGCCATGTTGCCGCGGTTATTTCAACTACGTTATATCATTATTATCTTAATTTCTTATTTTTGTGTTCTTAAATCTAATAGAATAATATAATAAATTGCAATAATGTAATTTTATGTAATTTTATCTTGCGCAATAATAAAAGTTGAATATAAAACATATCAATCAAAATCTCTGCAATTTACTTTGGACTCTACAGCGGCAAAAGAATTTGTGGCGCTTCTGTCGTTGAATGTATCGGAGATCACTTTTTCAAACAAGTTAGTAATCTAGTAGTATATATTGAAGTCTGTGGTTGGATGCTTTTCTGAAGAATCTTGGAATTATATGTCGTTTTCTTGAAATAATGTAAAAATTTAGTATAAACATTTGTAGATTAGATTGCTCGTTATATTCGTTCCATTTGTTGTTCATAGCGAAGGTGAGTCTGTAGCATTTCCGTTGCATTTGATTCGTCTTAACGATTTACTATGCTGTTACATTTACATTGACACCGCCCAGATTAAAATGCCAGTTACAGTGCATCGTTCAAAGTTTCGCCGCGTTGAATGTCAATTAATTTCGCTGAAACCACGATACGTTATTTCGAATGGTTCAAGCGATCATAATCGAAGGCATTAATTTTATTTGTAATTGATCGAACTGTAGACGATTTGACCTGAGTTGACGTCATCTCTGAGAAATCAATAACTACCTTGGTCTTTGAAGTAACTCCCTCAACCAGTTTTACATACCGGTATATTCCTCTGAGGCTCGGTTTTTATTATCTGATTAATGTCAGTTTTTACCAAATTAACTTCAATTTTTATTTAACTTACTTTTATCTCTTTCTAGTTTTAAGAATTGGAAAAGGACAAAGAGTAGATTAAATCGAGATTAAAGTTAATCTACATTGGTAGAAATGGACATAATATATACCTACTTATATGTTGTTTTGTGTATGATAGCTCTAAATGCTATGGTATACAATAACTTAAGCAGTAAGAAAATGTTATATATCATTTGAAAGCATTTTTATACTCTACATGTCTGTTTCTACCAATTATTTTCATATTTTAATTCTAACAAATTTTTATGCTTAAAAAATGGAATGTTAAGTTGATCAAAATGAACGCTTGTGACATCTGTTATTCTTTACTTTCAATCAAGACTCCCAAAGCCTTTACTAAACCTCTGCTTGTGCTCATGGCAAATGTCGTAAATGGCTAAAAATTTCTTAAGCTAATTTGAGAGAATCTCCAGATAATGAAAAACCAGGCCAAAGAATTATAGAATATAAGTTTAAATGTATTATTCAAAAGTTTTTAAATATAATTTTTAGTAATCTCTTATTAGTCGTCAAGATGATGTCTGATCGGAAGGCTGAGTTAGAAAGGAAGAAGGCAAAGCTGCAAGCTATTAGGGAAGAGAAGGAAAGACGTAGGAGAGAGAAAGAACAGAAGGATGTAAGGGATAAAAAAGTTTATAAAATAAGATACTCAATTTATATGTACTAAGATAAAGATATATGTGCTAAAGATGACAAAACTTTGTAGCTACCTAAACTTGCTAGAGTATCAGGATGTATTCAAGACATATGTTTCTAAATATTCATGTATCATGAATGATTGCTACTTAAAAAACAGTAACATGACATTAATATTATAGGTAGAAGAAGCTACCGTTCGTGCTGCTGGCACGGACAAGGATCAGCGCAAAGAGATAGATGCAATGCTGTCTTCTTTAGGTGTAGCGCCAGTGTCAGGTATATAAGTAAAGTGTTTGATTACTAGAATTGGCAAAGCTCTACATTTTTTGATAAAGTTTGGATAAAATTACCAGTAGAAAATTGACTAGAAATCAATAAATAAATTAATTTTCCCTAATGAGTTCTATTTACTTGTAGATGTGCTCTCTAGTTTATCTAGTATGAGCTCACTGACGCCTGAACAAAGTGCTAATGCTACACCGGATGCCAGCTTGCAACCATCTAGTATAAATTCTGCTCAGAGGTATTTATTGTTACATATTTACGTTTCTTTTAAGATCAATATTTATAATCTGACATAGTGGTACGAAAAACAGTGTAGGACGAAGAAAGAATCGAGAGCTTACGATTGTCTCCGTGGCGCACACAAACATTCCACCAAAAGAACCGGTTGTCTATAGCAAGCAAACGCAAACCATTCAAACCACGCATACATCTCACGACGGTGAGTCAATATTTCTCTTATATTTATATATACATATATATATTGCACATATGTGTTACTTGTGAAATGTTTGAATGTCAGAAAAAACATGTGATATTTATTCCATAAAGGTTTTACGTACATTAAATATAAACGATGGAATTGAAATATAATTAGTTTTCAAAGATTTTTTTGAAATTTAATTAATTTGTTACAAGATAAGACGTGTTAAATATTATTATATCTTGTATGAGTATAATCGTTAATTATTTTTTGCTATTTTATACCAAAAATAATTATTAATATTTATTAATTATTCATTTTTACATTAACGTAAGTTCGCAAGTTTTTAGCGCGTTCACACAGTACATGTTTTAAAGTCACTGAAATATCATTAAGCTACACATATTCCATAGTTTTCGCATGAATAAATAATTAGTAAAGTAGGTGGTTTTTTAATGAAAAAGACACAGTATACATTTTTATATATGTTTTATTAAAACATGTTATACAGTCTGTCTGTAACCACATACGAAATCTTAACAATATTCTTTGTTATTTCGTTTATTAATTAAGTAAATTAGGATGTTACATTAATCACACAAAGTGCATTTTTTGTTTTTAATTTTAGAACAACTAATATTAAAATTGAGTTAACCTTCTAAATTATTTGTTATAATTAATTTTAAAGTGGCGAGGAAACTTACATATTCCTAAATATGAATTTAATAATTCATTACATCACAATTATCATTTTCCTTCACATTATCTGTAAAGGATTAACAGTTTTCAACACTTTTACACGATTTTTTTATATTTTGTTACTCAAACGATATTCGATATCAAAGAAATAATATATTATGTTTATGTAGTGACACAAATATTATTAATTAGCACATACTTAAAAATATACATTAATGACATTTGATTAATATATTGAGATAAATAATATATTATTACTACGTTATAATTAGTATTATAATTGTAAACATGAATAACAGTTTTTATTGTGAGCCTTAGATTATGTGTGTAACAAATCTTAGTACATAACAGGTAGTAAGCGTCTAATAACCAATCTGGGTTTCCTTTAAGTTATGTTTTTGGTGGTGGCAACACGTTTTCCTATAATACATTTTCATTTCCATAATGTACAACCGCAAATTCAGTTAGTTCTTAAACACCAACATTATATGTGTTACTGACGATTAATCTCATTTTCGCAATCTACTAACAATACAAAATTGATAACCATTTATGTTAGTGATTAACAAATTTTCGTATATTTTGTTCCAATACCACCTACTTTACTGTGACGAAAGATAATGCAACTATGTGACGAAAGTAATGCAACAAAATCAAAATTTTGACCGAAAATAATCTTTCTCCTTAAGATTATATTATATCTGATTGTCTAATATTTTATTTTGAATGGACACAAAGAAATATTATTACTAAAGATAATACACGTACGCGTATATACACATATATATGATAAATTTTTATATACATGTTACCTAACTGATCTTGCGGTGTGAAAAAAATTAAACATACGCGTATTCCCTTGCCTTGCGATACAATCTGATCGATTCATCCGGTGTTGGACACAAGGACTGTCCACATCATCCTCTGCATACACCATCTACTCCTCCTGTTCAACAACAACACCAACTCACTCTTGCTCCGCAGGCTACTTTGAGACTGACTGGTGGCGTCCCAGGAAAGGTGGGTCTGCACCAAACTACCTATGTATGTTCTGTCTACTTTTTTACTACCTTTCTATAATTGTCGTATGACGTTACATTCAGTGTTGTAACATACCTAGATGTAAGTACCTAGGTACTTTAGCAGTATCTAAGACAGAGATACTACCTGGTATCTTTTTTTTTTAAGATACCTTTTATGTTTAGATATGTAAATACAAAGTATTCATCTATACCAACGATATATACATGGATCAACATTTCCATGTTTTTTCAATGATAGGGAATAAAGCCGGAAATTGATAGTTTCAAGTAGCTTTCAGTGACTATTAAGTCATGTTTTACTTTCTTTGAAGATAGAAAGGACACAACAAAATCAGACTTTTTAACTGTCACTTTCAAGCTACGAATAGAATATTTAGTCTAATGTATATAGAGTGTTCCATTTTAATTGCCCCAAATAAATATCTTAAAAAATACGTAAGATATGAACAAATGTTTCAGATGGAAGTGGAAAGGTTTCGAAGAGAACGTGTTCAAGCTACGTCTTTCTTGAAGCTGTTCCACTTTCATCTAAAACATTTTTTCATATTTTATGTATTTTTTAAGATTTATCTGAGGCAATTAAAATGGGATACTCTGTATATGTCGTTGATCTATATATTATGTCATTATATTATAAACTTAATTTTAATCCCCAGACAAATCGATTTTCAAACAATGTTTGAAACACTACTGATTTAAAATAAACGTGACATATGATAATTATCCAAACATTTTTATTATTACTACTTACATCGTTAAATAGTAATGCAATATAAAATAAAATTTATTTGCGCAGTTTATTTTTTTAATAAAAAGTACTTAAAAGAGTAACTAAATCTTTCAGGTCATACTATACTGTACCTGTATCTATACTTAAATAATTTTTTTAAATGCATCTATATCTGTAAATAGGTA